TATGTCATTATGCGCGCGCACGCGTTGAACGGATCAACTGGTTCGGCTTTTACGGCTGGACGCGAAAATGCGTGTTCATCTCTGCAGTATTAGAAAGCTGAGGAGGAAAGAAGCAAGTTTGAGAGATTATTGCGTTACACAGTACACCGCGATGTTAATTATTTACACGGTCTAACAAGTCTTTACGTTTCCCTGGAGCGTACACGATCGGCAGATAACGGACAGGAAACTTCTGCCCGCGGCACTTCTTTTTGAGAATCCAATTTCGAGCCCTGATCGTTCTCGCAGCGGATTATCCGCGCAATCGAGCGAACTGTACGCTCATCGCCCAAGATCTTGACAGGACTGTAATTTTTCTACTTTTTATTATTAATCTCCTGTCGTATCCTCTTTTCCACTTCTGCTCGACTTTTGGTGGTCATATTTGTTTTCAGAGGCCCTTAACGCTATACACCGTTTAACTCTTTGTACTCTTTGTAACTCTGGATTAATTTATCTGACAAAGATCTTTTTATTAAATTTTTGCATAATTCATTCGTCGAATGAATTAACAACGCGGTTTTTGCATTTGTTACGTCAGGCTTCTTCTCGGCTTCGTCTCTTTTCAGAATTAAATATGAATTATGGCGTGACTCGTCGTGTAATTTTCATCTTTTCGCGACGACAAAGCGACAGTTGAGTAGTTTTTCGAGTGGGAAATATATAGCGATATTTTATATACGCGAGGGAAAGAGAGAGAAAAGTAAAATTGAGGGAGAGGCACTCAACAAAACAAAAAGGTTTTTTTCCAGCCACGTCGTGTTGGATAAAACGTGGGTATAAAATGTGTTCTTTCTCATCAGGAACTGAAATTTCTCTGGAACTGCGTCACTTGATTGATAATTGACGAATTTGCAATATTCGACAAAATTGTCACCAAGTCTCGCAAGCGTAGACTTTCGTGACTTCTACGGTAGAACATCGCGTCGCTGACCGCGAAGTCAAATCGCGTGTCGAAATTGCGCGACCGAAAATTCTACGCGCGATATTCGCGATCCGATGTCCAATAGGAGACCACACTCCTTAGGATTGCCAGCTAACAATCTTATTGTCTCTAGAAAACCAATTTTCTCATTAGGCATTAGCCGTCGTATCTCTCGGATATCGAGCTTGTTGCGAATCGCGTGATTTGTCGCGTGATCGTTAATCGTGCGACCTGCGATTGCCGCGCGCTCCTCATGGAAGACTGAAATGAAGCGAGTCGTGCGTCACAACTTCTTGTTGATGCATTTTTTCTTTCAACAAATTTCAGCACAATCCGCTGATGCGTCACCGCGTCGACGCGGGGCGTCAGTCAAGGTTTCGGTGGCGGAATGCCAAGCGCCTAACGGTGCGGGGAAAGAAAAAGATTCGAGAACGATCATGAAGACGAAGGCTCGTTGTGCGCATGAAGTAAAGGGTACCGGGAAATGTTTACGGCGTTAACTCCGCCGTGGAAATTAAGCTGCTTGCCGCCAGAATGCACCGTTATTACGCGTGCGTCTGTTTCGACGGTTATCCGCTTGGCGTACGCCGCTTGGAGTTCGTGCAAATCTTTCGCACCGGCTGCGCTAGCTTGCATTTTTTGTCCTTTCCGAAACAAGCGATAATCCAGCCTTCTTCTATGAGCTGAGGGGACTCTTGAAGAGCCTCGAAAGAAGAGAGAAAAACACACCGCCCTCCTTTCCTCTAGTTAGATTGCACGCTAACGGGGGGGGTCTTTTTTTAATATATTACTGGCGTTCTCTTTCCATAACATTTGATTTGAGAAGCTTCCAAATTTCTCGCTTCCTATGCTACTTCACGTGTAACTTAGCAAAGGAAAGAAGGAAGAAGGACGCAACGAGTGTTCTTCGATACTTCAATCGAGAAGAAAGAGCAGGCTTCTCTCTGGAGGCTCAAACAAACGCTCGTAGCGTGTGAAATCAAGACAAGAAAAAAAGAAAGGGACAACGAGAAAAAATAGCTACGATTCGCAAAACAGCAAACTTCTTTCTTTTAAGCAGATATGTCGGTTACATCACGAGCGATCGCTGCGTGCGTTCTACGGCGATTCTCATCCCGTTGCGAATGCTCCATTCCGCGATGAACGCGAAATACCATCCCATCGCGTCGCCTCTCTTCACCGCAAATAAGTGTTTCCTGTTGCACGGTCTCCATGGTGAGAGAGAGAGAGAGAGAGAGAGAGAGGAGAGAGAGAGAGAGAGAGAGAGAGAAAGAGGAGAGAGAGAGGAGAGAGAGAGAGAGAAAGAGGATGGCCGATTGTTATATTGGGGAGTTAATCGTTGAGCGCCATTCAATCACCTCGACAGTGCCACGATATTTCCCGATTGAATGTTTAGATTAATTTAGATAAGTGATAGTGGAATAGAATATGATAGTTGAATTGGATAGTTGAGTGAAGTCGTGATATAACGCGATGAGTCATATTGAATAATAACGACGAATGATTCTGAAATTCGCCGACGAAACTGTACGTTCACGCTTTCACATTATTTCTGGACTCGTATGAAAAAGCAGCGGAACGAATTGCCGAATCAACAAAAAAATTCGTCAACAGGAAGTAAAAGGAGAACGAAAAAATGTGCAATACTTCTGCCTCATCCTTCGTTTTATTCAAAAGACGCTCGCAATCTAGAGGAAGGAAATAATGTGGGCAAAAGAATGGCCCAGATAGACAGACTCGGCAGTGCACGCATTTAATATGTATTTTATGATGTCATCGATGCGGCATAATATGTTTGTAATATGCTTGCTGTGAGAAATACATATTTATTGTTCCATACTTTGCAGCAAAATATCAGTTTGTTCGCATTGCTAATTAATTGCGCCCTCTTGCCGACACAATTGTGGCATGCGCCGCAATTTTCATGGCATCAGATCGCTTCTTTTATATGCCGTTATAATGTTTCTTGTACGAAAGCGTATCTTTTATGTACTTATGCTGCTATTTTAATTTTCGAATTCAGATTATTATATCACCTAAAAAAAAAGTATTCTATCCGTAAAGTGGTTTTTCCCATAGGCTGCTCATATTCTAAGCGAAGCCTTTTTACAGAAAAAGGATTTCTCTTTCGATAAAGCGATTAAAGTGAACCATTCATCTCAAATTTATTAGATATTATTCTAACTGTTCTCCTCTTATTTCAAGAGGATTTTCTCCTGTGTCAATTAATTATCCTCTTATATGAAGAAGAATATGTTGATTTGAATGTCGGCTTCTTTTATTCAGTCATGCTCTACCTCCAGACACGAACGAAAAAATAATCATATGCTCACGGGTCAGGATATTTGAAACGCTTTTTAAAGTATGTGTAGGTTTTTAAGGTATGTGTAGGTTGCTGTAACATATAACGAAAAAATTTACCCATATTTGCTCAAATACAGTTTATAATCGATCGCAAGAAGTTGAATAATATATTCTTTCTTTTAACTATGTTTACGTACAATTGCTTATGATGAACATCTTTGTAACTGTGAAGTCCATAACAAAACTGACTGGAAATTTATTAGTTACGATAATCTTATTTCATTCGTGCCTACTTATTGCAGAACTGGAGCCAGAAGTGCATCTATATACATATTACTTTGTTGCTACACATTGTAATAATTTTTTCAAATTAACCAGTATAACCAGTAAGAATAAAGTACAGTAAAAATAAATGATAATCCTCTTGGAAAAAGATTGAATAAACTGTGTACAAGAGGAAATTTATATTAAAATCAATAAGACTTGCACTATACATGTACAAGTGACATATAATCCCTCTAACTTTAAGAATAATGTGTTTATAATATTTTCCTTTGAATTTTAGAGGAATCCTCATAGATTCCAGCCAGCAAGATGAAGCCATGTGCAAGAATAAAATCTTCTAAAATTTGGATGATTCCGCTTGTTTTGAAATTATTCTCTTGGTGGGTGATCATAACGCGGCTGTGCGATCAGCCGGCGAGTTCCTTATCGTGGATATTGCACGAACAATGCAAAATGCAAAATCAAACGATGAGTTGCGCTTACTCGAGCACACGCAACTTTGAAAGGTGCGTGCACAGTCGCGCATTAATGAGTCAATATCAATATCGTCGTGTCATGAGACCTCGCGACCCGGGTGATTCACTATTCTCGATTATTCAAATTCAAATACAAATTCAAATTCAAATACTCGCCACTTGCCAACGCTTCAGTCGGACGTTCGCATCTTTCGTTCCTATTTTTCCTATTAAACGTTATTTCTTATTTTCACATGTTTTCTCCTATTTTTAGACATTACTTTTTATCTTCACGTTTTCTATTTTTCCGTTAATTCCGCGACTGCCCGTCACTTCCCCGCTCACAGACGGGATGATGAAACATATCGAGCGGATCGACGCATCCTATCGATCGCGACGAGTCACCATCGTCACCAACCCGGCAGATCATCGTACGCAGTGTGTGTACGCATTTTGCGCATTGTACACGCACGCGCTGCGCGCGCGCGCGTGTGTGAGTGCGCGTCTCCGGTGCTCTAACACGCGGTCGTACGAGACCCGTCGACCAATGCCAGCTCGTACTCTCGCCGGCCTGGCGATTACACGTACGTGTCTATACAAAGAAAATCCACGGTCGTTAAAAGAGAGAAAGAAGGAAAGAATCAAAGCAGAGCGGGACTCGGGAATGGCACGTATCGCGCGCGTGTGTATGGGCGACGTGACAAGACGCGCGTTGAACGCGCAATAAACGTTGCACAATGCCACGTCGCGCGATGCCATGCCATCATACGATGATCAGAGAGAGTCGCGTGATTGATAAGTGGATCGATCGCGCGGCGGATTGCCTTTGCCGGATTGTCTCGCGCGACTTGGAAATTGCGGGAGCGCGCGCGCGCGCGCGCGCGGCGAGTCGGCTCTTCCGGTTCGAGAACCGGAGCGGAGAACCGGCGCGAGAGACAGCAGGCGGCAGACGAGGGGATCAGCCAGGTAGCTAAAAGCATCCTGGCCAGGCTCACTGTGTCACTTGGGTAGAGGCTCTTGCTGCACGGTATATGGCTGACGTGCGCGGGTCGATACCACGTGTTGTTGAAGAGCTAAAGAACGCGTGTTGCGTCTCGTCCGACACCATTCGCCGGTTATAAGTGGCGCGAGTCGTACCACGCGATCCTATTGGCCGGAAGCATCTCAGCTGAGGTTTAGCGATACTATCGTGGCACGACTCTCCTCCTCGTACCACACGAGCCCGCGCGAATTCCAGTGTTTTTGATCTTGACCGGCCGGGCTCGTTCCGGTTGCGGCGTCGTTCCACCTGCGATCGCAGACAGTCTGTGAACGTTCAGCAGAAAAAAAATAACAAAAAGACAAAAGGAGTGCGAGAGAGGGGAAGGGACGACCAGGACGAATAATTCAAGAGCGACGGCAGTCGGTCGGTAGAAGACCGATCCGTTACGCCGTGGACATTGAAAGTGTGATACTCGCGTCTCGTCGAGTTCTCATTAGTGACGAAGATTTCGAAGAAGCCCAGAACACTTTCGATCTCTCGCGGGCGGTGAGAGATTTACGAGGTGAGTCCTAATTTCGCGATTTCATTCGAAGAAGAGGTCTGATCTGAAAAACCGCCTTACATGTTTTGTACATGTTTCGATTTCACGTAACATTTCCCAAATGTATGCAGCGTTTCGTCAACCGTCTGTAAAATGTTTCTAAACGGTTTCTAAACGGCATTATCTGTGCGTAGTCGAGTTCTGTCGAGTTTACTGAAAAATAACCGGTTAATAGTGCATCAGTAGAAATAAGTTAGTCGAAGAGTAAGGGGTGAAAATGAAGAGAGAAACGATGAATCTCGATGAGAACAGTGATGTTTCTCTTTCTTTTTTTAACATATTACTTAACGTAGTTAGCATAGTCTTCTCATCGGCTGCTGGACAGTAGAGAAGAAAATAGGACAAAAGAGAAGACACAAGCATGAAACGATGTAACGATGTAACGAAACGACGAACACAAATCATTGATAACTTGCGATCGTGCGACTTTGAAATGACATAAGTGCAACATTAAGATTTTTAATGAGAACCCCTATTTTTCATAACGTGTTCTTGTGACGTTGGAACATTTCTGCAAAATCAATTACGAACCTTTTTCTGATGATTTTCTAAGTTTAACAGGCGTAGGCATTAGCATTATCCAAGATTGCAGTGTTATACAACTGTCTGGTATAACACGAATATCGAAGATTGCGAAGATCGTCGCTTATGAAAATTGCAGACTCTGCTCGAAAATGTTATTTTTTATCTCCCAAATAACGACGTCCTTGTGCAATAATACAAGTGTACACACATGATATATATTTGACGGCATGCGATACAACACGTGCTTGTCGAATGTTCGCGTGATAAAAAAAAGACTCTCGCAGCGGTCTACGCTCGCAATCGGTTATATTATGCAAATGTGAATTTTTATGCAGCAATATTCACGGGTATATAGTGCTTGACAAAAGGCTTCCGGAACGCAAATTACTTCAAAAGTATGATTTGTTCGAAAGAACATTTGAAACCAAAATGGTAAGGTTTGAAAATCTATTAGCTGCTGATTTTCGTTTGACTTTGGAATGACCTTATTAAATTCAAGATCAAAATCTTAAATGAAAACTTCTAATCTTCATAACATGTCCTCGTAGCTGACGTTGAGACATTTCCGCAGAACTGGTTACGAACATTTTTCATGTAATTTTCCGAGTTACACGAGTTTTCAAGGTTTAACGTCACAGACATTAGCATTATCCACATCTCAGGCTTCCGCGATGTAGAGAAATGTTTGATTTGAATTTTGGACTTGTACGCGTCCATCATCGACTTGTTTCGGAAGAAGTGAACTGGATCTAATTTTTAAACTCTATTATACTTTTGTTTCGAGCATCTTTTTTTGCTTAAATCGATAATCCCTGAGAGAAGTTGTCGTTCCGGAACTTTTGTCATGCATTATATATATATATATACAGGTATAGGCAGGCAAGTTTTAGAGCGACGAAAACGAAAAAGAGAGAATAAAGTACGCGTACCTTTTATCGTGTTACATAATTGACCTTTCGACTTTGAACTATGACGTTCATATCCGCATTAGATGTGCATAATAGCTGACCAACTTCTTCCGACGAATCCTAAAAATGTTTCGACGAATCTTAAAAACGTGAATACATGAAGCTTAGATTAGAACAGGTCTGTGAGTTTACATAAAAACGCACATATGTCTTGACACTAGCCTTGACACCTTATGGTGAAAATTAACGCTTTCAATGTAAAACAGGTATTTATTAAACAGCTGGCACTCAGATGCATTCTACATGCCCGGAGAAAACGTGCCTAGAGAGAAAAACACTTTTTTTTTGTCATGTTTGTCCCCCGTATTATCATATATTTTCGTCGTTAAACTGTTATTGAAGTCGGAAGGGGGTAAAAACTTTTTAAGTGCCGAGTCTAGCAGCCGGCATTCTTGCGCGAATTTTATCCAATATTAAAGTGCGTCAGGAGTTACTATATTTGTTTACTTATCATAATTTATTATTTATTTCTTAGTTTTTATACATCGTAATATTGATGAGACTCGTTAATTATTTATTGATTATTATTCTTTGTAACTACGTATCATATGAGTACCAAGATAAGATTAAGGAATATTGAATGATTTATCAGATATATCTTATATTTTATTTGGACATTTTCTCTCAGAAAAATCAAATGTCTGGATAAAAATCCGGATTAAGAAATAGTCGGGTAACAATATCTGAATTATTCAGAATCGACATCATTGATATGTATCGACAATTTACGTGTCACGAACATATCCGTAATCTTTTCACATACTTGTAGTTCTTGTTTTTAGTTTTTAGTTTCGCAACCTTTACGGATAATTTTGCGAGTTAATTTCTCCGTTATATAGATACGTAACGAGTTAGGCGTTATTGATATAATAACAAAATGATACCGAGAAGAGGTCGCACTTGTTTGCACTTGTTATCACAAAAAGCTACGGCTAATTGCATCCCCATCACAGATAAATATAAACGATGCTCAACAATATTGCCGTTAATTATTCGTTAATTTATCACAATCAGCGTCGCGCCGTTCACGTATTGCTGATTCTAAGGAAAGTAATTTTAACACGCGCATACAATAACTTATCATAGTTTGTGCGCTCAAGTTCTTAAAATTGTCACATTATGTAATGTATAATATTAAATAATGCTCGTTTTCCTCGCTTCTGACATTACCAAGTGAAAGTTGACGAGGAACCAGGAGTTTTGAAAAATTCATTTCTCTCTCGGAAGATTATATCACAAGATTTCTACAATATTTTTATATGTATTCTTATATTAATATAACATTAAACAATTCATTTTTACTCCGGAATATTATTATTACAACGTGAGATCATTCTGACATTTTTTATATTCTCAAATTTACAAATTTGAAAAAATTTTAAATTTTGAAATTCTTAATATTCAAAGAAATTAAACTTTGCACGATGATGAGAAGAATATAGTCACATTATTCATCTTGCTATTCAACATGACGAAACTGAAATTGACAATTCGACCGAGTCGACGGCGTTTGCGGGTTTAACGATCGTCAGTGCTTATCGGCAGACAAGAACGCGCGTGTGGTATTCGTGTATGCGTGACGATATCGAATGATAAGAGAATTTTTCGATCGACCGATCACGTGAAGTCGCGTGTATGAAAAATAAACGATCGCTCGGGCTGCAGTAAGAATTGACCTTAGTGCTACGTAACCTTAGCATTGACCGAGTTCGATCGAAGCAGCTGACTGTTTGAAGTCGTGTTCTCGAACTTGACATTAGTCATTCTTTCAGGCCATCTAGCCGGTTTCATTCAGCTCCAGAAGCTGTGCACACTCGTACAACTCGGATGACTCAAGAGATAGTCGCATGTGATACATCCGAATGGAAATGAGATTCCGATAATGAGACTATTATATAATAATTGGAGCAAAATTAGCTCGCGATTAAAATCCTGTTCTCTCAACTTGTTTGAATTCCACACTCGAGAGATTAGCCGACCGCTCTCGCCTGTCTATCCAATGTTCATGTTATTCCCGACAGCAAAAAAATTAAGATACTCTAAAGATATTTCCTCTTTGATAGTCAGGTTTTTCATCTGAAAGGATCTGAAATAAGTCGCTCGACTGATAATAAGAAGATATGGTTGGAAATCATTCGGCGCCGAGATTAACATTCTGCTTTCTTTTCGCAATTGGATTCGTCGTTCGAGAAGTCAGCCGACCGCTCGGCTGACCATCCAGAGTTCATTTTGGGCAGGGAAATTTGAATCGCTGAGAATTTTGTGTATGTAAATTTTGTGATGTAAAACTTGAGATGAAACTCTTCTTCATCGACCGCATCCTCCGTCCGAGAGGATCAGCTGATCGCCCCACGTGCCGTTTAAAGTCCACTTAGCCGGTGACAGTGTTGGATATTAATTTATTAAAATCATAATTGACCAAAAGTAATCGACAGATTAATAATTAAAATTAATTGATCGTCATAGAAAATATCAATCGTCGTGTAAAATTACGATAATTTAATGATCAAACGGCAAAATGCAATCGGTTGATGAAATTAATAAAATTGAAAGCAAAATGCCTGAAATATGTAATAAGCTGAATACGACATAATCGATCGAAACAATCGTCACGCGTGGTGACAATTAACTCGATGTTGATCCTAAAACTGTTTCGATCGACCGACATTTCCCGATCGATTGACACGAGGATAACGAGGAAATCTGACGGATCTTTCGACGCGGGACGAGATACGCTTCGCGATGGAGAAAATTCGCCCTTCGACCGGCGGATCATCCGTTCCGAGATGAGAATCAGCTGATCGCTCACCCGAGCTCAAGCCGCTGCGCAGGCGGCCGCGAACAGACGCCGTCGACGGCAACAAACCGTGACGACGGCGTCCCGGCGCGGCGCGGCGCGGCGCCGCGCGAGCCTGCGCCTGGACGCCGGACTGAAGGGATCCAGCTGGCAGTCGATAGGCAGTTTCTCGACCAGACATCGTCCAGACAACTGCTCGGATTCTGCGGTTCCTCTCGACACTCACAGTCACGCGGGACATAGGCGGGTCCCCTCGGCTCTTAGGTAGAGAGACTCCTTGGCTGCCGATCGCGGCGTCGTTTTCAGGATCAAGCGACGACCATGAGGACACTGAACGAGACGTGTCTACGTGTGTGTGTGTGTGTGTGTATACGCTCCGTAGTGTCGGTGTCACTAACCCTACCCGCGACCCGCAAACTATCAATGGCTATTGACTCTTGAGAGCGTCGACCATCAGTCCATCAAATTTCACGTATCTACGTGAAATGGCTCACGTATCTACGTGAGCCTAGCTCGTTACGTGCCGATCTTTCGACCACAGTGGTCTAGAGCAATCGCCCGGCAAGCGAAAGACCCGGGTTCGATTCCCGGTCTAGCGACTACCGCGCTCTCGATATTTTTCTCTCCTCGGAACGAAAAATGAGATGCAGGTCCCGAACGCACGACGTCCCGTCGCCACCTAGTACGCCCTCCTTCTTTCATGGTCTACATACATCTACGTGAGCCTAGCTCGTTACGTGCCGATCTTTCGACCACAGCTACGTCCTGTCTCCTCGTTTAGATAACGGATACGATTTTTTCCCCGGCAAGTTCCTCAAAGGCGAATCAAAGCGGGACCGAGAGAGATGAGTACGCATCATTGGCGTAATTTTCTTGCTGACTCGGCGAGGTTGGTCCTATCTGGGGCTTTTATTCCACTTTGGACTCTGGTTCAACGAACTTTGCTCGGTCATGAAATTGAAATTTTCGCGAGGAGAAAGAGAGTAGAGTGAGAGAAATCGCCATGTCGGTATATTCTTTATTCTTTCCTCGCTTTCGTTTATTCGGAGGAAAGCCCTCTTGCATCTCAGCTGCTGATGGTGTGGCTCCCTAGATCCGCTCTACGTCGCTGTGGCGAAAGTTTTACAGGTGTCATCCTCTCGGGCAGGACGACGTTTCGTTAGCCGTGCTCCCCGGGCTCGTCGGCCGTGATCAATTTATTAGCGGGCAGGCGAACCGTACGGTGCGTAACTCGCGGAGCTACGCAGGTAGCTCTTCGCGTCACGCAGGTGGTCGATTTTCAGGTCAAGCGCTGCGACTTTATTATGCGTCTGCTAACAGACCTCTTGTTGTTTCCGGTATGGTAATCGGGAATCGTGTACATGTATGTGCGTGCGTGTGTATGTGTGACATATAAAGGTGACATAAATAATTTCGGTATCGTCGAGAATGGTATTCGTCGCTTCCGTACACTTTTGGACTCTCGCGTTCGCTATTGTTTTTTCTTCGTATCACACAGGCGAAAGCGTTTTTTCGCAAAAGCGTTTATAACTGCGCTAATTACGTCACGATTCGAGCCGCGTTTCAGTGCCATCGGCGGTGCGTGCGGATCTACATGCGCATACGATTATAACGGCGAGGATGGTTCTATGTCGGGCTTTTATTCTACTTTGGACTTTGGTTCGATGAACCTCACGAAATTGAAATTTTTGCGAGAGGGAAGAGAGTAGAGCGAGAAATCGTCGCCACGTCGTGTTCCTTATTCTTTCTTGGCCGTTTGTTCGGAGAAAAGTACTTGAAATTCGCTCGAAAGGCGCTCGCATGAAAAAAGCACGTTACTTGAAACTTTTTTTCACCTGAAATTCTCGAATTCGAGTTTCTCTTTCTGTTGAATCGCCACTGCAACAAATATATTGTTTACACGTCGCGTGATCTTTAATCGAAAAATCAGCCTGTGGGTTATCCGAATTTCATTGCGCAGACTGCAATCGCGGCAATCGATGCAAAAGAGCAAAATGGAATCTTCTGCTGAGTGGATCGATTAGAAGCTCAAGGAGGTTCGTTCAACTCGACTGGATTATCGATCGGTTTCTTCTTTCACAGCGCAATTTCAGAATCATCGCGCGGCAATCAATCAGAATCATTGTTGGGTAATAAATCGACAATTATTAAAGGCTATTGAATGAACAATATGCAATCCATGCATAAACAAGTTGAGGTGAATCGAATGATTGTGCAGAAACAAATAAATGATAATTGCTAATGGTGAAGGTCAAGAGAGAAAGAGAGAGGGAAAAAGAGAGAGGGGGGAGAGGAAGGAAGAGAAGGTCTTCACGGCAGCGAATCGACGCGTTCGTCGTGGTCCTTTGTAGACTGCAGAGATGTGCGAATCAAGAATTTTTATGTCGATAATCGAATCTATGAAATTTCACTCGAATTCGAATTGAATCGAATGAAATCGAATCGAATCATTAAAAAATTTAACATGATTATTAAACAATGATGCAAATAATGCAAATAATGATGGAAGATTTTAATATGAAAGGGAATATTGATACTGTAATATCATCCTAGAGTAAAATATATATTTAAATATTTAAAGTAATTTGTAACTAAGTTATTAATTATAAGTTAAGTTAATTACAAGTTAAGGGTTCAAACATACACAGGCCCAGATGGCTCGTTTTGTAGCTGATGCGCGCAAACGATAATGTATTTGATTCCTATTCGAATTATTCGGATTCGAATCACAGGGATTCGGATTCGAATCGAATCGAATTCGAATAGTTCGCACATCTCTGGTAGACTGACGAAAATCATTTCCATTCTTGAAGATCGTTTGCATTTTCGGTTGACAGGCTCTGATAGGAAGCAAGAATGGCGCCGAATATAACCCGCGCACCGACAGAGGTGTTCTTCGAGGAGGAGACCGTGGCTGAGCTGCAACCGATCGAGAAGAAGCCCAAGTATGTCAGCCGCATTGTTTGGAGGAACGTAGTGATCTTCTCGTATCTGCATATCGCGAGTCTCTACGGGATCTATCTGGCGTTCACGTCGGCCAAATGGGCAACCGTCATTTTCGGTGAGTGGCGGATCATCTCGAGGAAATGAAACGTTACTCGTACGTTGTTACTCGCGTCGGCACTCGCAGACACCATCGTCATCATGAATCTCGAGCGAGACACGCACAGGATTCGCGCAAGGATCTGGAATTTAGACGGCTGGGAAAACGGTGACGAGGCGTCGCGTGCTCGGAGCGAAATTAGAAACGCAAATTTCAGCGCAAAGGTCAAGCGGGAAAACTGAGAAAACTGAGTCATGGCTGGGATACTTTGCAAACAGAACGTCGATTGATTTCCATAATGCTCACGTCGCGTCGCTTCGGCCACGCGCTATCGCAGAAACTCTCTCGCATAATGAGAATAAATACGCGAATGAAGGGGAACTGGAGCGTCGCTCGGGCCACGCGAGGAAATTGAAAAGCGAACGGAGTATACGACATCGAAGCGCGCGAACGCGAAGAGGAGAACTCGAGCGATTGATAGAGTTAAACTGCTGACCGATATAAATATCTGCCTGATATATTCGCGTGTCAGCACTCGATCGTTCATTTGTATCGGTCATTGCTTTGCATTTGTTATCGCGTAAGCAGCCGGCCGAGGCGACCGGTCTCGACTTTCACGTCAGATTGATTGCCATTGTATGTTCTGTTTGATCTCATGCTGACACGAGTTTTTTACAGAGTCAATCAAAGCCGGCTGGGATTATCAAAGTCAGCCTTGGCGCGAGCTCGTTTATGTGATGCTTCTCACGAAGCGAGCTTCTCTCTGCTCCGTGATAGCAGTTCCGTTTCGGTGATTAGAACGTAGGGTCTCCGGCCGGAAGCGCGGTACCTTAAACACGAGCTCGTGCAGTTGCTAGTCGTTGCCCCGCTCGTGGTCGATGGCCGTGCATCAACTCGTTCGCGGCTCTACAATGTGTGTATATGAAGCACATCCAGACTAGCTTCCCGGCAAACTAATCAACTTTAGTTTTTGCGAGCCTCTTACTCGCGACAGCTTCATTTTCGCGAGAAGAAAGAGAGGCAGGCAGAGAGAGAGAGAGAGAGAGAGAGAGAGAGGGAGAGGGAGAGAGAGAGAGAGAGAGAGAGAGAGAGAGAGAGAGGGAGGGAGGGGGAGAGAGAGGGGGGGAGAGAGAGAGAGAGAGAGAGAGAGAGAGAGAGAGAGAGAGAGAGAGAGAGAGAGAGAGAGAGAGGACGAGTGAAAAAGTTTATCGATGTCCCAGGACTGGTTGCCTTGGATCAATCCAATTGACAAGCCGAGTTAATCCTTAAAGGCTGCCATGAAATTTCATCATCCCATGCGAATTTCTGATCTTATTGAAAAATGTAACCTGACAATACTAATCCTGTAGGTTTTTATTTATTTACACTATCAGTAGCGACAACATCATGATAAGACAGATCAGTTGCCGCTTTGCTGCAAACGATAACAAGCTGAAAGCTGGCTTGGGCTGGTATCTGATGGTAGCTTTTAAGGATTAGGCATTGCTGATTAGGTAAAAGGGATTAAGAACGTGTTAGCGCGTACGGCTGGAGACCCGAATATCGTGTAAGGTTTATCGTATTGATAACTTTTACCGTTTCCGTCGACTGCAAATACGGAAATTAGCTTCGAGAGGGACTAAGGTCTTTGAACCACACGAGTGGTTTTCCCGGAAACGTGTTTCAAACAAAACGAACGGAGCGAATGAATAAACGACACGCGTTGGTTCCGCGCTAATAAATATATGCAATTTATTGCAAATTATTTGTCACGATTATCCGGTGGATTCAAGCTTGAGTTGAGCGGCGACATACTCAGCGTGACAGTCAACACAGTTCTTGTATTTTCCTTCGCAACTTGAATAACAAGTGTATGTCGTGTGTGTATCTACACTTTTCCTCGAATTATTAGACATGCGTAGATAACGCACATGCATTATTCCAACTTTCTTCGAGCAACTCACTCGCCCGTTGTCGCAACGTTTGCATTAGTTGAGAGAGAGAGAGAGAGAGAGAGAGAGAGAGAAAAAGAGAGAGAGAGAGAGAGAGAGAGAGAGGACATGATTTCAGTACTTAATTTTTAAGAATAATAAATAAAATAAATAAAATAAAAAAAAAATTTTTTACAAAACGCGAAGTTGGCCGCAGCTTCCAGCTTTCTTGGAATCGAATTAAGATTTAGCCTGCGCGAATTCAAGTTGAAAACGTGGAATGTTTCAGAGACGCGATTCTACGTACGAAAATCCAAAGCTTACCCATATCTCTTCTGATCTTCGTTCTTTACATCCAGAATTTTATTTATCTTAGAATTTTATTTTTTCAGTTTTTTGTAGTTGTTGTAAGAATGGGTTTCGATACCACAAAAGTATACCGACACGTTATCATCTAAGGAAAAAAAGCGTGAGTTCTCTCTTAGTATTCCTGTTTCTAATCTCGATAAAGAGTCCACACGTTCGAGATAAGAATGGAATTTTTATTTTGTAGTTATCACGATCATATAAGCAACTTTATGACTCTTTACTTATTTTGGGAATTTTAATCTGAATTTGTGCTGTATCTGGGCAAAATCCTAGGAAATTTCTACAAGTGTACACGCGCGAGATTTCCGTCGTAGGCTAGGAGCAAATCACCCAGAGGTAACGGCTCGACGGAGATCGATTATCACGCAGGAGTCACGGAAGAGGATTGTCGCGATATGTCCAACCTGCTTCGCGCGCATAACGTCCTACTTTTCTCGATTGCAGCATTTTTTCTGTACCAAATGACCGGCTTGGGGATCACAGCCGGGGCTCACAGATTGTGGGCACACAGATCCTACAAGGCCAAGTGGCCGCTCCGTCTGCTCCTCGTAATTCTGAACACCATAGCGTTTCAGGTAAGCGATCCGATCTGTCGCGTCGCGATATCGGGGGCGAATAAATCGCGCGACTTAAATAGCGGCTCGACTTCATCGGCTGATTCGCGTCGATACGCTGCAACTCCACGAGCGTTCTCATGAAATCGGAGATTTCGGCCGATTGGAGTAATTCGATGAAAGTGCCAACGCCTGGGCACACGTCCTTAACCCTCAAAAGCTATGGGTACTATGGGTGAAATTTCACCCCGTGCGAATTTTGTTTCGTTTTTATTGAATGCTAAATTGCAAGCAATATCTTCTCTACTTCTTATCCGTTGCAAGCAATATCTTCTCTACTTTTCATCTAATGTTCAATAATAATAAAACATTTAATCACGTTTGTTTGACGTTTTATGTTTAAAATAAAAAAATATATATATACATCGAGATGATATTTTTTATGATTTTCGTTGACGGTAGCTTTTAAAAGTTTACACCTGAACACCTTTGTCGTTTCGGTCTGTGAATAAAAAGAAATGGACGCAACAATATGCCGACTCATGCCCGTTTTTACCAACCTTGGTTAAACTAACTGGCTAATTATTCCAACGGAATTGATCCAATCGCATTTGCCGTAAATTATAATTGACAAACAAAATCAAAAGTGATTGGTTAATTCCGATGAAATAACTAGCCGATTAAATCAACTATAGTTGGTAGAAACGGGCATCAGTCGGTTTAATAAGATATAAAAGATAATTATATTCACGAGATGGGGCAAATCTCACCTGGGATTAGGGATGTAAATAGAAAATTGTCATGTAGCATTTATTATGAAGCAATTATTGTGAAGATTTATTATGAATTATGAAACATAATATCGAATAATATATATTATGAAGCAAATATATATTATTCAATATTATGTTTGTTAATATGTGCTTCATGACAATTTTCTATTTACATCCATAATCCCAGGTGAGATTTGCTCCATCTCGTGAATATAATTATCTTTTATATCTTAAACCGACTGAGTCGGCATATTATTGCGTCCATTTTTTTTTCATATCTAAGTGTACACTTAAAAAATTTCCTCTCTTATTAAACCTGTGGCACTATTCAATTAATTCATTTTTATTCTAGAAGAATTGTGATTCGTGATTTTTGTATGAATACATCACATGAAAATTCTTTGCATACGATTAGGAGATACATACATAACAAGACTTCATGACGCTTTTTATCATTGGAAGATTGATACGTTCAACTTGGAAATCTTGCGATCGATCGATCGGTCAATCAATCTTGCTACCTGAGACGATATTTTTTGAGTTAGTGTTGAAGTTACATCATTACGCGACGTCGCGATACTGAAGGTTGCATGTGGAAAACGGATAAACAGCTCGACCGGCATATCCGCGCCGCGTTGTCCGGAGAAGATATCCTCTTCCTCGTGAACGCGAAAGCGTAGGTGGCGGGTATTGTTTTCTCGTTCGTATCGATCATCGTTTATCGCGCACGAGTGAACACTCTCGTTGTTTTTGCCCCCTTCGGGATCCCAACGAGAAGGCCTGTCTGACGCGAAGAGGGAACGTAGCCAAGGGAAATGTCCGCCTACGCGATCGGAAAATCTGATTTAGCTCTTAGAGTACAAACGCGCTATCTGTAAGTCAAAAGAAGGTCTTCATCAAGTGACACACTTTGTGGGACGCAGGACGCCGCGATCGATTGGGCCAGAGACCACAGGGTCCACCACAAGTTCAGCGAGACCGACGCCGACCCGCATAACTCCAATAGGGGTTTCTTCTTCGCGCACGTAGGTTGGCTCCTCCTCAGGAAGCACCCGGATGTCAAGGAGAAAGGCAAGGTGATCGACATAAGCGATCTCAAGAGCGATCCCATATTGATGTTTCAGAAAAAGTATGTGTTGACCTTGATTGAAGAAGAGAGAAAGAAACAGGAGTCGAGTAGAATTTTCAGGACGGATTATTCTTCTTTTCAGATATTACGCCCTGCTGATGCCTCTGATGTGCTTTATCCTGCCTACTGTGATTCCGGTCGTGTGCTGGAACGAGACCTGGACGAACGCTTACTTCATACCCACCATCCTCCGCTATATCTTCACTCTGAACGTGACGTGGCTGGTGAATTCGGCGGCTCATTTCTTCGGCAACAAGCCTTACGACAAGTTAGTATAGCTTCTTCTGCTCTTTAGCAACGAAGACGACATGCCGATACTTCCATTAAAGTTCTGCTTTCTCCTTCCCTCGTAGATACATCAATCCTTCGCAAAACAAAAGCGTCGCCATAATGGCCTTGGGCGAAGGCTGGCACAATTATCACCACGTCTTCCCGTGGGACTACAAGACGTCCGAGTACGGCAACTATACATTCAACATCACAACCGCGTTCATCGACTTCTTCGCGAAGATCGGCTGGGCGTACGATCTGAAGAGCACCTCAGAAGATATGGTGAAGAAGCGGGTGGAGAGAACCGGCGACGGCAGCCATGATCTGTGGGGTTGGGGCGACAAGGATCAGACGCAGGAGGAGAGGGATCAGGTGATGATGACGTATAGTAGCGCGAAGAATCAGTAGAGTATGCGTCACGCGTGCGAGAGTCTCAGGTATAATGTAGACACTTTTTAGCATTAGTTTACAGTAGAAGGGGCAGGGAATTCAGTTATTTTGTTTATGCAGATTCCAAGACATTCTTCTCGCGAAAGAAATAAAGAGAGGGAGGGATGGGGGGAAACGAGTGACTGGGTCGAGAGCCGGCTTTCAGAAACTGTCGACGCGTTGCGCGATTATTTGGCGGGTTCCATGTGTGATGGTTTCTGAAGATTCCGGCCAGTAGCGAAGACGAACATTGTGATTTTCTTTAACGATAGTTGCGACACACGGTTTTGCCTCGGGACGGTTTTCCCACGCGCTCGATCGATAGCTGGTAAGACGGATCGCTGCGATTTCCGCGCGCGCTGCGCCACGTATTAATTATCTGGGCACTTTGTACAGTTTGTATAATTTTTTAAACGCGTAATTGTGTAACGGACATGCATATGTCTTTGCGTATATGCGTAATTGGTACGTACCGATCGTGAACGCGCGAATCAGCGTGCTTTCGCGCATTGAAGCGATTTGTCGCACTCACACAACTGAATCAAATTGCAGGATAATTGCGATTATCGATTGTTAGCAGCAAGATTGACATGAAGCTTCTTCGACCATTTAAGCTCGAATGAGATTCACGAAGAAGCACGAGAATTTGAGTAATATTTAGGAGAAATTATAAACCGGTCCAGTTCTAATGCTGACGTTAAATATGGGGTCTTTGATAATTTGTCTTTCGTACACACGAAACTCTCTTGAAATCTGCTGCAGAGTTTGTCGGATATTTAATCAATTGCATTCAACATTTTCATTGATTTCGCAGGGAATCGTTCGCGTTTTCTCGATCGAATGATTCGCGTATTCTTTGATGTGTAATCCCAACAGTGATCGTGACGTGCTTCTTCAATTGGAACCGTCCTTTCAGCGATATTGTCTGGAACGTCAACGAAATTAATTTATCGGCGAACGTGAGCATTAGCTTATCGCGCCCTCCCTCTGAAATGTGTAACCCTAGTGTAAGTGAAAGGAAGTCGAGAGATCAAATTTGCGGTGTCGATCGACAGGAGTTAATTGTAAGCAGTTAATGAGAAATTTTCTGTTTCGATAGCAAGTATCGAGCGAATTGCGCGACTTTACGTTTCTTTCTTTTGTTCTTTAGTTCCTATTTTTTACGGATTTCATATGTTAAGTTAGTTCTCTTACCGGTTAATCCGATATAACTTATTTATGCAAGAAATAAAAAAAGGAAACTACGAAGATTTATACTAATAAGGCGAGCGTCGCGATATAATAAAGCATGAGCACATAATATTGTATGAGATGTCTGTATTTTCACCGATGTTATTTCTTTCTCGAAAATTGACTTGTGTGCGACACATCTCGTGAACTTTCTTTCCGTCACCTCACTCTACGCCATCAGGTCTGTCGCCTATGAGGAAACGTTTCCAATCGCTCGTGTTTTTATTTTTCCTATTCGATCGACCGATCGAATCGAGCGATGCTTCGCTGATTATACATTATATCGTCACGGCGAGTTTTAGTCGTACGAAATGCTGATTATGGCGACGCGCAAGGAGCCAATGCAACGCGTATCTCGGTTATCACCGGAGGATTACACACGAGGGTGCCTATGACGCAACATGTAATCCTGAAGACTCCCGGAAGGCGAGCGTCAACTGGCCGTCGGCGTGCTCTCTTGAGAAGTAATCCTTGAAACAATAACGGTAATAGAAAAATGTCCGACCACGATACGTTCTCACTAATAAACGTTCGGTTTAACCACAGTGATATTAGCTCGACGTACGGCGTTTTCGAGTTAAGCAATTTCACAATTATTAGTTGCACAATTCTCTCGGTTCTCGGTCGTAAGTCGCGACACGCTGAGAAGACAAAACATTGCATGCTCTTGATGATCTGTATTATCATACAATACACGTATATGATAATACCAGAGAGGAACCTGAGAGCGGCCAGTACGGCGTTTTCGGCGACACCAACTTTCCGCATTGGGAAAGGACGCCATCTCTAATATCCAAAGAAAATGTTTCAAAATAATGTATATACAGGTAATATAAACCTTATGCACCGACGAGATACTATAAAGATTGATGGCTTTACGGGACTGATGGTCTCGGGACATTTTTTATCAAGTACGAGCGACGAACTTGCGTAAAAGAGCTGGAAAACTTTACGAGACGTATCGTTCAGAGGACAAAGGTTATCCGCGGATGCCACTTTCCCCGTATTTATCCGTAAAAATGATCGTAATACAGATTAAACAGCCGCGGGAGCAGCTGCGGAAGAAAAATCTATGCGGTTTTTACGACCTCGGCAGCAGGCTCTGATTTCATCTCGTCTTTATCATCAACGAAAAAAGTGCCTATTTTAAAGAGCGATCATAAAATGAAACTACTTTGTCATGCTTATATCATCAACTCCCGCTTCAATCTCCTACCCTCGATAGAGTCTCAACGCACGATCAAACGCGAGTTATGAAGATTCAGGCCTGGTCTACAATCCGTGTCGTAAATTGGAAGCCGTAAGAACTGGCGAATCACAGTCGATTATTACAAAAATAATCGGCTATAATTGGTCAGTTCGTAAGGCATACAGCTTACAACACACATTGTAGACCAGGCCTGAGTTTCCGCGAAGAAACTAGTCGGGGTACGTTCGCAGCCGCGGTGGAATTTAACGCTCGCGTTCGCAAGGGCCTAACATACTACTCGCGAAGCGATGCCATCGCTCCTCTTTTCACAACAGTGCGGATGTTCAACTCCTTTCTTCCTTATTTTCCACGACAAGGATACCGCGACGAGGCTCTGACGAGGCAAGTTCGCTTATATCCAGCGTTTATGTCAAGAACGCTTCTTGGGAACATTCCGCTCGAGGGGTTAGTCCGCGACAGAAAATTTCCTGCGACCGGAGACCGCTGTGGTTTAAAGTTAAATTGCAGCAAGGGCATTGTTATCGGGCAGCCCTGAGACGGGCTGCTGTCATTCGTCCGTTACGTCTGCCGCGTGCCTTTGCGACTATCGGCAAATTCAGTTTTTTCGATTGTACGCGCGATTTCAAGTGGCCATAATATATGGCGATAATACATGGCAATATGTAGCAATAATATATGTGGTAACAATATACGGCAACAATATATGGCAACAATATATGGCAACAATATATGGTAATAATATATATGGCCATAATATATGGCAATAATTCATGAAATATATTTTTCGTTATAAAAGTCAATGCAAATTTGCGGCATGCACAATGTAATAATAAAAGAGCTCTCTGCGAGCATTGAGTCAAACGCTCACCGATGATGATATTGATGATGTACCGTTGCATCCAACCAGATCCACCAATGTCCGTCCATGTCCGCTGCTGCTCACCATACCGCAGAGCATCCATCTTGCAGCGCGTCCCACGTTGATTGCTACACTTTCATCACACTTCTGCGACGCGGTTGATACGCGGGATTAGAGCGGTGATATTTGCGTCAATTAACGAACGTTTTACGTCGACATCGGTGGAAAATTTTTGCGCGCTGCGAAACGGACTCTATAAACTCGATCGGAAAGGAGCAAGAATCGTGCGAAAATGTATCGACTCGTCCAACGGATTTTTACGGCGCTTCTCGCGATCGCGCCTGAAAAGTCGCGAAAATGCGGGAGTATCGATATCTACGAGAGTATTCGCGAATGCATGTGAGGAAAGATTAGACAATTAGAAACCGGTCGCTCCGACGGAGCACAAAGAGAGAGAGAGAGAGAGAGAGAGAGAGCGAAGCAAAGTTTTCACGCATGATAGTTTTGTCACGACGAAGCTTACGTTCGCGATACTTTGGCGAAATGAGAATTTAAGCTCTCTTTGTTAATAGCGCGGGTAAAAACGCGTATATTGATAACCGCGATCGCGATATTCAAAGGCACGCGAGCGAGGATACCTCAAGCTCGGCGTGCGCTGGCGCAATTTCTGCGCAATTTTTGGCGCATTATACGCTACTCGAGACAATAGGGGTCGTGATGAATGGACAATATTGTCAAAAAATTCTACAGCCTGTTTTGCAAATAAAAGAAAAGTAGCCAACGGTATCGGCATTTATGCGTATAAGTGAATACGGACAATACAAGTGTACGCGGACAATTGAATATTGTCAAATAATTGTCGTCAAATAATCCTGCGGCCCGCTTGAAAAATTAAAATGAAGCAGCTGATGACGGTATCGCGTTTGTAGACATAAATATCTCTTATTCAACTGAACATCAAAAGAGGATCAATCGGTATTTTAAATCTCGTATATAATGCAGGCTATCGATCAAATAATCCCCTGACTGTTTCGAGCAATGTATTTTTATTCAACGTCACAAACATACACATGCAAGAATCTATTTGCAATTCGCATTGACTCGAACGATATTTATTAGTCCCACATCCGTCATGCAGAATTTTGTTTCTCTTTTCATTTTGACTCACCGAAACGACTTGCAGTCAGAGCCGGCCACGTTCCGCTTCAACTCTGTAACAAAAAATTCACATTCGCTCATCAGATCAGACCAACGAGTGCGGGCGAGTAAAAGAGTAGTTTACCCTCTGTGATCGTAATTCAAATCGAGCCGGAAATTATATCCCAGCTCTAGATCGCCAAGGGTCAAACAGAGGGCTATAGTAAACTTACCTTCAAGCCGACTCTGCTTGGCCCGAACCGGATCCTCCGGTGCGGCATCCGCGTTCGCCGGATTGCTGTTGCTTTCCGCAACAACTGAAACAGAAAAGTAATTTTCCTGGTTGATAACCTGCGCTAGAGAGAGAATATCTTTGACCGGGTCGAATCGAAAATATGGAAATATTTTGATACGGAATTTTTATCTTTATATTTTTGTTCCAACATTGAAAATTTAAATGAGACTTGAAGCTTTCAAAAGAACTGATGAGGAACAAGTTTCAAAGGCAAAGATCGTAAAGGATTGAACACAGATGTGTAGGAAACTTGTAAACTTTACCTTCCGACCGACTCTGCTTGGCCCGAACCGGATCCTCCGGTGCGGCATCCGCGTTCGCCGGATTGTTGTTGCTTTCCGCAACAACTGAAACAGAAAAATAGTTTTCCCGGTTGATAATCTGCGGTAGAGAGAGAATGTCTTTGATCGAGACGACTCGAAAATATGGAAATGTTTTGATATGAGATTTTTATCTTTATATTTTTGTTTCAACATTTAAAATTTAAATGAGATATGAAGCTTTCAAAAGAGCTGATGAGGAACAAGTTGAAAAGGCAAACATGTATGATGTATAGGAAACTTGTAAACTTTACCTTTCGGCCGACCCTGCTCTGCCCGAACCGGATCCTCCGGTGCAGCATCCGCGTCCGCCGGACTTGCTTTCCGCAACGTCTGGAACAAAAATTTTGCGTTCCTGGTTGATAAGCTGCGGTAAAGAAAGAATGTTTGGTCGAGATGAGTGGAGAATATTCGCTACGATTTTTTTGCTTCGTTGATATTGAAAGTCTAGATAGGAACTCTCGAAAAAGCTGACGAAAAAGAATGACAACAAGAAGCGGAGACAACAGTTGTGTGCTCTCGTAAATACTGTTTTACGAATGTACATTTAAATTTAGATCCCGTAACGAGAATAAACAGACTTGAAAGAAGCTCTGACCGACAACAAAGAGGTCGCAGTTTAAGAAGCGGTATAACGTTGAATATCTACACAAGACCGGTATACTCACACAGTTGGGAATTATTGAGAATGTTTGATTGAGAACATGATGAATTAGAGATCCGCGTTCACGGACCGTTATCCGTCTCTGTCTGGATGAATATCTCTTATATACAACAACGCAATAAATAGACAGACAGAGATTAACGAAAGTAATTGCAGATTCATAAGTCATGATTACCAGTCGGATGATGACGGGATCATGAATGCCGAGCGCGAAATCCCGACTTCTTATTCTCGGAAAATTCGTTAAACGTCCGCTCTTGTTATTGGAGATCTCCCGCATAATAAATGATTCCACATACCTGAAATGTGACGTATTGCTGCCGGCGCCCGTCCTGCTTCCCGGCTGCTGGAGTCCTCCGGATTTCACTCGTTTACGTTTCTAACACTGATACTCGCGATTCGACCGTGCGGTTCATCAACGCGATGCCGATTGTGTATCTCGAGGACCGACGAGATACATTTCTTTCGAGACGGAAGTGACGAGCGCGTCGCGCACGGCTGCTGCTGATGGAATGACGTTGAGTACGCGAGGCGCGCAGGTACATAAATATGAAGGACAAGAAGTGTCGTTGCTCGCGAGCCGATCAACACAATCGACGCGATGTAAACATTGCGAGCCTCGGCGGCGGTTGGAGCAAGAAAGATTTGCTCTTG